GAAAAACTAAAGCTCTACAATTCTAGAACTTATCTTTGGATATATTTACATATTAATTAATTTACAATTATAATCAACACAAAAATTGTTTTAATGTTTCACTTGCAAAATGCTTTAGAACTTATAATATTGTCGTTTTGATAAGAATATCGCCTGGTGTTTCAGCAATAACACATAGTAAGTTCGAAATTCTATCTATTTTACATAAAAATCTATAAGCTCTACTCGCAATCTGAGGGTCGCGGGTTCGAATCCCCGTCCCACCGAACATGTTCACCCTTTCAGCTGTGGAAGCGTTATAAAGTGACGATCAATCCCACTATCCCTTGGTAAAAGAGTAGCCCAAAAGTTGGCGGTGGGTGGTGACGACTAGCTGCCCTCTCTCTAGTCTTACACTGCTAAATTAGGGACGGCTAGCGCAGATAGCCCTCGTGTAGCTTTGCGCGACATTCAAAACAAGTAAACAAACCTTGGAAAAGTAATAAATATTGGTTTCAAATTACTCTTTTTACTTTTTTTACCTAACATCAATGCTATTCCACAATAAGTTATTTTAAAATAAAGTCATAGCTTTCACAATATATATATATATACCTTATAAAAACTGAATCATGTCACATACTAAAAGAAGAGCTTATACACTCGAAGTTGTTTCAGTATACTTTTACCATCCATTAATTTAAAGATTACATTAATGTTCTATTTCTACTTTCATGATCTTTAGACGCTCCCATGTGTAAAACTAAGCAGATCAGAGCTTTCGGAGTTCCAGTTCATGAGTCTATTCGAATTGACTGCGAAGTAGATGCTGAACCACCTGACGTTACTTTTCGATGGATTTTTAATAACACGCACGAAACGTTCGACGTGGTGGACTATGAGAATCATTTGACGAGAAGTCGAGCAACCTTTATTCCCCGAAGTATTCAGGACTATGGTGTCTTATTTTGTTCAGCCGAGAATGAAGTAGGACCTCAGGTGTCGCCATGTGTGTTTACCATTACGCCAGTAGGTATGTTTTACCAAATTCTTTGGTTCCATTACTTCCCTTTTCTCGTGTGTTAAAGTTGTTCAGCCGAGAATGAAGTAGGACCTCAGGTGTCGCCATGTGTGTTTACCATTACGCCAGTAGGTATGTTTTACCAAATTCTTTGGTTCCATTACTTCCCTTTTCTCGTGTGTTAAAGTTGTATAGCCGAGAATGAAGTAGGACCTCAGGTGTCGCCATGTGTGTTTACCATTACGCCAGTAGGTATGTTTTACCAAATTCTTTGGTTCCATTACTTCCCTTTTCTCGTGCGTTAAAGTTATTTAGCCGAGAATGAAGAAGGACCCCAGATGTCGCCAGGTGTGTTACCTTTAAGTATGTTATACCATACTATTTGATTCTATTTCTTCCCTTTTCTCGTGTGTAAAATTCCAAACATAATTTATGTAGTGAATCTCCAAGTTCTTATTTTTGATTTCTAGGTAGATTGTCATGTCTTTAAAAAAAATCCAAACTTATATTCTTCAATACTTCATCAACGGATTTTATATTTTTTACACATTTATTGTTAATTATTGTCACCTGCTGTCTTAACTGCTTCACATTAACATACAAAAATATCTTTATCGTACTAAATTACGTAAAGCACTTGTTTGACCAGTGTCTGATTACTTGTTTCTAACAAAGAAAAAATTATTTAGTAATAAATGAAAATAACTGATCTTCTGTTTCAGGACCACCAGAAAAACCACGTGATTGTATGGTACGAAATGTTACTATGTACTCCATTCAAATCGCATGTGAAGAAGGCTTTAATGGTGGTTTAAAGCAACACTTTGTTTTAGAAATATATGACAAGAACTTGGAAACGAGAGAAATTAATATAACTTCAGAGATACCGGTGTTTCTTATTCAAGATTTGTCTTATGAAACGCCTTTTGAAGTCATAGTTTACGCAATGAACTCGGAAGGTAAGAGTGAAAACTGGGTCATGACAATCAACACCCTTTCCAACGTTATAGGACATGATGGTAAGATTAAAAGCTTCAGTTGTATAATGATTCTTTATATTAACCCTACATCTATTTTATAAAGGTTTTTAAGTTTGGTTTATTTTTACTTCAACAACAGTGGGAACAGATTGAAATACTATTCCTAGCCAGCAAAGAGGGTTTGTTTGTTTGTTTGAAATTAAGCACAGAGCTACACAATGGGCTTTCTGAGCTATGCCCACCACGGGTATCGAAACCCGGATTCTAGCGTTGTAAGTCCGTAGACTGGGGGGCCTTTATAAAACCTTAGATAACGTAATACCCGTCCTTTAAATGAACGCTAGATTTTTAGAATAAAACTTAAATAATAATTATAGTATTTTGGTACTTGTGTATAAAGTTAAAATCATAAATAATATTCAACGTTAAAATGGTACACAATTAAAAACATTTTGTTTAGGCCTATCTATGGCCTTCAAAATATTGACGACTCTACATGTTTCGACGTTACAACGTCATCAATCTGAGCTTATATTGCAACAATTTAACTTACTTTAATTGTCGCTATAAAGATAGATCGAAAAGCCTCCAGTGACGTATGTAAAATAAACTGTGTTAAAATTAGGTTTCATATAAATGTATAAGATAACTATTTTATAAATAAACCTAGATTCGAACCTAGATACTTCATCAAACCATAATGCTATGTTCCGCGCAATGTTCTAAAGATAATTAATTTAGTTGCCTGACTTTAACGTTCGGCGCCCGACACCAATAAAATATGATATACTGAGAGAGATTAGGAAGTTCACTAACAGTTGTTGTTTTAGTCAAAACACATAGTGTTTGATTAAATAAATGCCCCCAGTGGCGCAGCGGTATGTATGCGGACTTACTACGCTAAAATCCGGGTTTCGATACCCGTGGTGGGCAGAGCACAGATAGCCCATTGTGTAGCTTTGTGCTTAATTACAAACAAATAAACAACTAAGTAAATTCCATGGACATTTACTACGTTAACATCTGTTTTGTTTTTCGAGCTGACCTCTTATCGTTGGTTTAGTAGGACAGTTGAAAAATAATTTGTTAATGTTCAGGGAAGAATTGTAAGATATATATAAAAGCAGCATTTTAAACACTACCAGCTATCTGATGGTAAAAATATTAAACATGAGTACAGTTGTTTAATTGTATAGAAGCAGAAAATTAAATCATTTTCTTAATGTTAAACTATCCCCCAATCACGCAACAATATAAATGATATCCCACTGTTTAAAATATACGTTAAAATCAGTTAAACATTTCAAAATTTAGGAGTAAACAAAAACAAGACTTAACAATACTTGTTCTGATGCATCTCAGATATTAGCAACTGTGATGAATACTTTGAAATTTGATCATATAATCAAGCCTGTTAATCATGAAGATTGGTTGGTTGGATGGTTGTTATTAAGCACAAAGATACACAACGGGTTATCTGTGCTGATCTCAATACGCGTATGGAAATCCAGTTTTAGCGTTATAAGACTGTAGACGTACCGATGAGCCACCGGAGGGAGAGGGGGGTACCATTTCTAGTAATAAATTTTAAATAATTTTGTAGTAGATTTAAACAGTTGCAATTGAAAATGATAAAACTAAAAGACACTGGTAAAACAATCTAATCACATAACAATTCTATAGTTATAATTTATAAACTTTATGACAAATACGATTTTTAGTTGTTGTTGTTTTGAAGGATGTGCGTATAATGTTGTGTGTTTGTTCATCGTTGTTTTGGTATATATCAAATAATAGTCCACTGTTAGGGGCTTGGATAGCAATAGCCTCCTTGATTTTTTTTATATGCTTCTTTTCTTCTTTTGGAGAATCTATGATGTATTCAGGTCCATCTTGTGGTCTTTTTCCGCAACATGATTGGCTATCGCTTATGTTTCTGTATCACATTTTATAATATCTCGTTGGTGTTCTTTAAGACTTAGTTTTAGTGACTGACATTAAAGTCTCCTATGGCTAGAAATAAAGGGTGTTGTAGACAGGTCAGGCAGAAACCTAAAATCTTCAGCACGATATGCTCCGTTACATTTCATGTGGTTTGGATTTGTCTGGTTAACATGTTAATAAGTTATTTGGATGGTTTGCAGCTAGCCATGACGATTATTTCATTGAGAGCTGTACTAATATTTATATGGAAAATGCGTCTGTCGTATCAAACTGCAGTGGTTATCTGCGTCAGCATGTGGTAAGAAGTTAAAGCAAGCGAGAATGAACTCCTCAAGAACTGAGAGTTTAGACTCCTGAAAATATATAATGTCATAAGATTCAGGGAGCTTCTCAAGGCAACAGTTGCTTCCTCTGGTTATTGTAATATTACAGCAACATAACATAAGTAATTTGTTGTTTACCAGCTTGATGTTTCTTCCTTGGTTTCCTCTTTTTTTTAACTTCTCCTACTGGAACCAAGGCCTCTTGCTGAGTGCAAGATATTCGATGCTCCCATTGGTACTTGTCTAGACTACTGTTTTTAATATATAATCGTCTATACGCAATACTATTCAGAACAACCCCTCCTAGTACTGTCCGCCCTAACAACACGTACAGGTGATGGTGGTCCATATGCTTATAAGAAAGGGAAAATGAGGATGCCATTCATCTGGAGGGCACACGTTAATCAGTATAGTATACAAATGCCCTCATGCCAACGAGATGCCTCCCTCATGCAGGATGTTATGCTTATTGAGCATTGTCTTATAACAAGTGAGCATGCATCTCTGAGTTGTTTTCCCACTACAATAACAGAATGTGACAAAGAGTCCTCTCTGCTTGATGATTTGTTAACCTAACTAAACAACCTGCCTGAGACGCATGTGAAAACACTAATGACAAACTTTTACAGCTAAATGCAGGGGAACCAACAAAAATTACCGAGTGTCATTTGTACCTTTTATGGGGGCTATGATGTCTGCAGTGATCACCTCGAGTGTTAGGTGTGCATGAATAATGGATTACAGAGTGGCATAAAACAATATAGAAACTAATATACGGACGTCAAGTTTCTGGCCGTACTTGTACTCTAAATCTGCTCTCCACCATTGAATAAGATCAATCCTATTATTTCTGTGAAACAAACATCCATACTGTTGGAATGGTGTTACTGGTAAAACCTGGAAATCACACAATCAAGTCTATACTGTGTTCACGCAAGTACAGTATATATTAACCCGGGAAAGTCGGCAGTAACTGCATGGAATAGTGCCTGTGCTCCATATAGCTTATCAGATTCCAAGTACTTTATCTAAAATAGAATGGGCTGTGCAACAATGCTATTATCACAAGATCTTCATTCTGGTACTTCCATATATTTATGGATGGCAAAGGAACTAAAAACGTAGAGATGTTAGTCATTCGCAATACTTATATCATTCCACTCCACACAGATTAAAACCAAGGTAAAGCCTTCATGTGTGATCATTGTAACATGCACGAGAGGCTCAAACAACAGCATTCCCTATTTAGGTTACAACTACATATAGATATTGAAGTCGCCTTTAACTTGAAGCAGATATACAGAACCATAAAAACATATAAAGGCATCTTGGTCTTGATGGTGTAAGAATTTTCACCTTTAAAAATCTTACAAAAGCCAAGATGATGAAGTACGTGTTGGAGTATCAACATGAAAAGGCAAAAGGAGGCATCCCTGAGATATAGACTGATGCCTTTATCAAATCCGTATCCTAACTTAGGAAGAATCACTCTTGTCGTAAAGACAATCGAATCATTGTCCAACAAAACATCATTGCAATATCCCTGAGAAGGTTACATCGAAAACTCTTGCTTATTAAATTAATCTACTGCTATTACCATCATTATGTGATTATCTTAGCAAAAGATAAACTTGCATCAATGTTGCTGAATTTGTTGCTGATTCATTGGAACAATTTGAAACTAGACAAAAAATTATGGCATTAGGTTTACATTTGGAAAATAATATGGTAGTATTGAGAAGCCTATGCTTTCTGACCAGTTTCTCAGAATATGTATTGGTTTGAAAGCAAGATACAACCATTTCCTTAACAGGGTGAGCAAATAGAGCAATAATACAGGAAATGGTCATCAATCCTGCCAAAGATACAGCCATAATCTACACACTCAACAACTAACATAATAATGACAAATCATCACCATCCTTCGTTGCTATTCTTCATAGAGAAACACTAAAGAACCCGGAAATAACCTTTAAAAGACAACAAATTTCACCAGTTACATTAGCATCTGATAACCAGGGCTACTGGAGTCATTAATGCATAAACGTTCTGGCAGGAACAAGAGCTGAAGAAAACCATCTGCTGTTGTTCTGCCAACGTCTTTTCTGCTCCATGCTGGAATATGTACTACTGATTATTATTTTGAGTGTTATAAAGCTAGATAAGACTTTTAAAAAATAGCATATATTTTTAAGACTTGGTCATTGATGTACTCCAGCACCTCATCAAGCAGTTTCAAAGAACATTGTTTTCAAGCGAAGTTCTTCACCAAGGGATTTAAAGTATAAAAATTATGCATTCCATCATCGAGCCACTGTCAATTTTAATTGGGAAGCTGCATTTCCATGACGACCTTTCAGACACAATCGAACAGGGTATTGCCTAAAAAAAGGTACCTCGGCAGTATATCTGGGTAATTTGATTTATGACCTATGATTAGAAATTGCATTGATGAGTATCAGGTAAACTAAATGATTAATCAAAATTAGTATTTTTGATTATTCGAGCTATCCAAGTAATCAAAGTATTGCAAATAAATGTGTTTGTCCAATCTTTGTTATGGGAAAGTTACTAAGGCTATATTACACTGACACTAAGTTTATATTGATGACTAGCTGACCTCACATGCACCTGCTGTTAGCATTTTGTTGTTGTTGTTGTAGTTAGAAGACTGTAATAAGTGAACTGGGGTTATACAGCCACCACCCACTAATGTTATTCATCATCACCAGATCTCAGATTCCTCCATGAGAAATAAACTTATGGCGACAT